CAAAGGGTCTCCTATAATTAAACTTAATACTCCATTGTTTTTAGAAACTTCTTTGGAAGCCTCAATTTTAGTTGGCAAGTGGCTTGGTTCCTAGTTTAGATGCTAAGGTTGAAATTAAAATCAATTGACTATTTGTTCAACCATAAGCACCAATAACAAAGTGAAACAAACCAAACAATAAGAGCAAAAAACAAACAAACAAACAAACAAACAAAAAGATTGCTATCATGGTAGAAAAAGGGTGACTGTAGTCTTGTCTATATTTTGTTTTCTTCAAATCCAGAATATTCTGGACATTAAATAGCCCTACCTTAAAGTGACTGACTAGAAGAAAAGAAAGTAGTACAGTTAAATTCCTAGCAAATGCTTTCTATTTCCTGCCAGTACCTTCATTCCTTGATGATGACCCTGTCATGGACCTAACAACCTTTACTGTTGTGACTTTCAATGCTCCACACAAGAGCAACAAGTAACACTCTCTATAAAGGTCACTAAACATAAAAGGAGTTATGACACCATAAAGGCTCCAAAATTTCCCATCATTTATATTCCTGGTTTCCATATTAATGGAAAATGTACCCATGGGAGGGGGTGGATCGGTCCTTACCAAAAGCTCAACTTCAACCCCATACTATTTTCCAGACACCAAGTAACTAACAGAACAAAGCTGCACCACACACATCTTAACTGACAGAAACCATAGTCTTAATCTGGCATTATCCTAGAGTCCATGGTAACCTTGGTTAAGTTTTGGAGAAGATAAAAAAAAGATATTGTGAAATGCAACCTTATTAGTGACAAATGTTATATGAACAGAGTAGAAAAACAATGAGTATTTCTCTCACAAGTGAAATATTATCTTATGCCAAGTTGCATTGCCTTGCCTTTTCTATATTTATACATTTCTATACTAGCATGAAAACAAAACTAAATTATTTCAATCCATTTATTATTTGGGTTAGCATTATTTGACGATAGGTTTGTGAAATGTAGCAGAAAAACTATCTCTAAAGTGACCATTTTAAAAGAGGCTGTGTGACTAATTTACTGAGCAGGAAATCACTGGATTTTCTATATAACTCCTTTTCTTTTTGGTTCTATCTCTTTCAGATTTGAGCTCTCACAGATCACATACAGAAAAATAACAATCATTGCTATAACATTTCCTAAAATATGCTGTTTTTGATTCTGTCTTAAGACATTTGAAAATTAACACATAATAGCAAAGAATTTTGCTAACACTGCCTCCTAGTTTAAACTGGACTACTTTCTAGCTACACGTTCTGCCTAATTTTTATGCTAGCTAGCAGTTGATTTCTTTGGTGGTTGTTTTTTGAGGCAAGGTCTCACTTCTCGGCCCTGGCTAGCCTGGGACTTGCTATGTCAACCTCGATGGCCCAGAAATCATAGAGGTCAACCTTTGTCTATCTGAGTGCTGGGATTAGAGGCATGGGCCATCATTCCTGGCTAACCCTTAATTTCTATATCTGATTTCCCCAAATGAAATTTAAAAGATAAGGCAGAATGAGAAAACACGCACATACAAATTAATTCATATTCCATTAAAGAAAAACTTTAATGAGTTTTCTTTCAATGAAGTAATTCACCACAGAACAGAAGAAATGCATAGGCTATACTATAAACTTGTTTTTAGAGATATATAAATCTATAAAACAACTGTTGCCGGGTAGTTGTGGTGCATGCCTTTAGTCCCAGCACTTGGGAGGCAGGTGGATCTCTAAGTTCAAGGCCAGCCTGGGCTACAAAGTGAATTCCAGAACAGCCAGGACTGTTACACAGAGAAAGCCTGTCTTGAAAAACTGTTAAAAACAAACAAACAAACAAACAAAAAACAAAAAACCTGTTATTTATAGGATTAAAAAGATGGCATCACAATTTTATACTGATTTACAACTTATACATAATTTGTTTTCAAGACTTTCCATTTTAAAAGCTGAAACATTTACCTAAAAATAAATATGCTCAATTCTGAAAGACACGAAGTCTTCCTTGTTTGATTATGCACCAGAAAACACTAATAAAATGATTTGTATGGAGGCGATATATAATTCATATAAAAATGACAACCTCTACTGGGCTTTTTGTCATATCACCTCAATCTATCAATGATTTTCCAACCACAAGATTAACTTGTAATCACACCATCTGTTAGCAAAACACACACTACATAATAACAGGAAATTAATTATTCCCTATGTTTGTAAAATCTGTATTTGTTTATTTGACAAACCTCCCCCTAAACTGTCTTTGAGTATTTCTAGTAGCTTCAAAATACAGTCAGAGATTTACAGACCTGACCCTGGACCTCCTCAACCAGATTTTGCAATTGAACCTCAGCTTTTAGCATGTCTTAACACAAACTTATGAAATATCCCAAATAAATGAGGATAAAGGCACATGGACATCAAATAATTGGCTTTCTTAATTTAATATCTCTCTCAGAAAACCAAGTTTCCATCAACTTTCTGTGGTGCTGGGAAAGAACCAAGTCACTACTCCTACTAAAGTTTTCACCTAACCCTGCTGAACAAGATGAGGCAGCTACTATCAAACCAATCTTAAATACTAGTCAGCACATTCCTCTACCCATAAAAAGTCACCAGAGAACCAAAGCCAGACCCGTCTTCAGTGTGGTAACAGTCCCTCTCAAGGTCAAGGCCAAAAATATTTCCTGAGTCAAATAGGAATTCCTGGCACTAAAGTTCATCCTTATAGGCCTTTTCTAGAAACATGAATTTTAAATAAGTTCCAACAGTGAACTGGATAGATGAACAAAAGATATTTAACACATGAGTCCATTACATTACTTTAGGCAGCTGGATGGGCTCAAGAAAATGAGCCACACCAGCAGCACATTTCACAGAAAATAGGGACATTACAGAAAACACTACAGAAATCACTGAGTACTGGAGTCTGGAATGACAAGACTAAATTCATTTATTTTACAAACTTGTACGTTGATGAATGAACTAATGATAGTATTTGAAGGAAGCCCTGGGTAGCATACAAATGAGCAAGATTTACTAAAAGAGGGTCAATTTATAACAAAAGCCAATATTAAACTTGATAAATCATTCAATCACATTCTAAGATGATAACATAGTCTGTAAAGAGACTACCTATAGAATTACATGGACTTGTTAGGCACTCAAAACAGCTAAATACTAAAACGTAGTTTCCATTATATATTATATTTGAAGACACTAGAAAATTCTATAGCAAAAACTTTCAAAAGTTTTGAAGTAAGTACCTAGTCCACCTTAAAAACTTCAAAGCCCCTTAAGTTAGCAGTATCCCAGGTGTTGACTTTATAGGTTGTAGTTCCTATTTTCCTTATGAAAGGCGGATGAGTAAGACCACATTAACTCAAATGACATATTGCCAACTAGTCTCCAGCATCAACTGTGAAAATCTGGTAGGCAGAAAAGAATTAGAAATCCAACTTCCTCTATGAAAGTTGAGCCTTTGCTTCTTTGTTTTTGTTTGTTTGTTTGTTTTGTTCTCTAGGATTGTTCACTATCCTCCCAAATGATACAATTTGCAAATATACCTAAAGGAGGATAGTCTATGGGAGGAGAAAAGATTTTAACTTTAAGGTCTGAGAATGTACTTAAATTCTGTAGGGGGATGGTTCAGTAAATCAACTAGCTGTAAACCTAAGTGAATGACTCATTCTTGTTTTCATTTGAATGAAATTTAAAATCCTACAAACAAGGGGGCTCCAAGAATTCTGCCTAGAAGAAAGAAAACGCCTTCAAATATCAATTTGCAAGGACCTAATCCTGTTAAGCATATTTTACCTCCAAGAATTAGATGGTCTTGCTTAATTCTCTGGGAAATTTTTACCATACTATTCTTAGAGCTTTGGTAATAACAAATAGAACACAGAAGAGAAAAAAAAAGTTAAGAGTTAAAGCTGTCATCATTAAGCCTAATTAAATATTGTAGGGAGAAAGATGGCAGTAGATTAAAGCATTCTAAATTAGGGAAAAGGAGAATATGAGTAGGTCACAGCCTCAAGAATAAAGTTAAAGTACACAACTAAGTCGGGCAGGAGAGTGGATAATAGGCAATGTTTTCCCACCCCACGCCCATCCCACCCCTGAAGTGGCAACCAAGTCACCCAAACATTAATACACTGATCTCCTATTAATTTGATTTTTCTACCTGTCTGAAGTAACCACCCACACCGGAAATGCATGCCAACTATAAAATGGGCCCTCCAATTTCAGAATGTCCTATCATGTATTAGCAGTTTTCCTACTTTACATCATATAAAGTGGTGAGACATCCAACCTCTACTTGTGACTCCAGCACTTCTGGCCCAGACAAAAACAGTGGAGCGAAAGGCCTTGGCTGTTTTCTGGACATAGGTTGTTTTGACTTTTACCCCCTGTCACTTAAATGATATAAGCATTGATATTCAAAGGGTCTCCCACTGGGAGAGTAATAGTTCAGCTGCTTCAGCAGCTGAGAGAAAGGTGGCAATATGGGGCGGCACCTTCGCCGCACACAGAACCAGCCATTCTCGGGTAAGTTTCCTTCCCTGCGGTGCACTAAACCACGCTGCCAGCCCCGCGGCCCCACCCCGCCCTATTACGGAAAAGCATGCCAGCAGCTCGCTGAAGGACGGGCGGACAGCTCCGGGCACGCAGCACGAGTTGGCTTTCTCCCGGGCGCCGCTTCTCCGAGCGGTGGCCGCCTCCCCCGGAACGAACACGGTTGCCAACTTCGCGGCCGCCAGCTCCTCGGCGCGAGCATCCCAAACTTTGTCGCTGCCTCACCCGGCAGCTCGGTGCGGGTCCCCGGGAGCAGGCTGACCTTCACGCCCGCCCTAGCTGCCCCTGGCCCCTGTGCCGCCCCCGGCCCTGCTGGGAAACCCAGGGCGGGGACGCCCGGCAGCCCGACCCCCGTGCCACAACCGACCCCCCCCCGGACCCCGAGAGCCCGGTAATCCGCGTCTCGGGCTAGCCACTCACCATTGGTAAAGGGCTCCATCTTCGCCCCGCCGCGGGTCCTCACGAGCCAAGCTTCCTACTACGAGAGCTGAAGCGGCCCTGCCAACTGAGCATGCCCAGCGAGGCCTCCGAGGACTGCCGGGGAGGAGGTGCTGCGAGAGGCGGCGCCGCTCCCCCGCGCCGCAACAACACCTTCGTTCCGGGTTTTCGCAACTGCTGCAAAATTGACCCAGGGCGACGTGAACGCCGAGCACAGCTCAACCCCTGGCCGACTCCGCCGAGAAGAGGCGGGAGAGGGCGGGGCCGGGGCGGGGCTTGCAGAGGCCCCGCCCCCAGCGGCATACTTGCGCGCGCGCGCGCGCGCCCCCCCCCTCCCCGGAGCTCTCGGAGCCGCAGAGCTGTATCCCTGTTGCAACAACTGATGCACCTACTGCGTTCGGCTGTGTTCCGGGTGCAACAACCCCTGTACAGAGCCCATAATCGCGGCCTTGAGGGGCTGTCGCTAAATTCGCGGTCTGAAAGCTGGGCAGGGCCGGGGAGCGTCGGTCTCTGCCGCAGGCTAGACCCCCGGGAAGCTCTCTTCCTAACCGCCCGAGCCAGCCCTGCGGCGCTTGTCAGCAGGACTTCCTTCCAGAAGAGCGCCTTGCTGCAGCCCCTGCAAAATGCCCGCTGCAAGGGAGGGGCTCCGCCTAGTTCTGTGGGCTTTTTTTTTTTTTCCCCCTCAGGGCTGGGCTTGGAGATGAGAGCGCATGATAAAACCCGGCGCGGTATACAGGACCGGGCGCAAAGAGGTGTGGGCAGAGAGGCCCTGCCATCCTAGTCCGGTCGTGACTCGACACCTGCGACTTCCTTGCTCACAACCATCGCCCCGGTAGAGCCAGACCAGAGGGAGCTAAATTTCCCCTTTCCCCCCCAGGACTAGAGCCATTGCCTCGGCCCCGAGTCCCCATTGTTTCCCGTGCCAAATCAAGGCAGCCCCCACTAGCCCAGGAGACCCTTAGAGACCGTGTGGCCGAGAACCCCTGGGGAGGCTCTCTAGGGCGTTTGCTCGTCCCTTTCCGACTGCGGGGTGCCAGCACCCGGCGATGTGGCCTCAGTCCCTGTGGCCTCAGTCCCTCCCAGCCGCAGTCACAGCTCCCCCTGCTCAACCCCCCAACCCCAACTCCTGCCCGCGCACAGCCCAGGCCCCTGTGGCGACTTGGCTCGGCCTTGGGCCTCATTGCCCTTGCCAACTTCTCCCAGGCTGTCAACCCTGGCGTCTGGTGCAAACAAACATGGGCTTGCACAAACATCTTGGGCAAAAGACGGGTGGAAGCGATGTTCCACCGATAAGGAAATACGAATTACGTTCAAAGAAGCAAAACCGAAGTGCAACTCCACTCCTGGTTTACAAAGTCCTATGAATACCACCTGTACTTAGAGCGACCCCTTAACTTGCCGGCCCTCTGCTGGCCCATGAGGCCTTCATGAGGTTCCTAGACATTGCCAAGTAGCCATTCTTTTATGAAAGTTCCTTTCAAAACTGTTCCACAGTTAGGTGTTTTGTTTGCTTACTTCTTCCAGTCATTTTCTTAGCTCAAATGTCACCCCTGCTGAGAGTCCTCAGGCCACACACCTAAAATAGCAACAAGCACAGTAGACTAATGATTTTTCCTGTGGTTTTCTTCGGAGCACTCACAAACTGTCACAAAGCTTATTGTTTATCAACCTTCCTCTTAACAATGCAACTCCTGTGGGACAGCCTTTTGCCTTTTCTTTTTAGGGCTATGTGTCCTAATTTCTAAATATTTTAAATAACTACACCATAGTGTCTAGAATTCTAATTTACTACCCCATATTGAAATCTTTACAGTGAATGTCTTTATATTGATTGTCTCCGATGGGTTTGTTTGTGGTCAATACAGAGAAAATGTCCATCACATCACGTCTCAGCGCTGCTTCCGTCTTTGTTTTGCTCCTGTCTTTTTACCCTGTGAAAGACAGGCTGAGCCCTTAGGCTGTTCCTGGTCTCAGAGCAATTCAGAACCAAAAATAGAAAGTGAAGCACAGGAACTCTTGTTTTAGTGGATTCTATTGAAATGAGCCTGGTTCACTTTGGTATTGCTTAAATAAGAAACTCCTCTCTTATTAGGTCATTTTATTTTTGTTGCCAGAGCACTCGGTAGCAGAGATATTTAAAAATCCACAGCTTGTTAAATCACCTGTAAGCTTACAGTCTATCATGCTTTTAAGTGTGAATCACATTATCTTGGGTTTTGTTTTAAATGTTTCTGGTTCTGAAGACTTTGTGGTAAAGTGTTTCACAATTTGCATTCCTAAATTTGAGAGAACCAAGAGATGTCTTTGATAAGGAGGCTATCTCTTTACCAGCCTCTTGCATATCATCTCTACTATTCAGGAATAGAGAAACAAAGGCACTGAGGACCATTTAGCCTTAGGACTTTGTTTTGAAAGCAAATAGTAAATAAAATCAACATATTTCAGAATCCTTCCTAACCTTATAGGAGTAATAGTGAATTTTGTTCTGTCAAATACTGTTTTATATTTGACTTTGCAAAGTCTTTTTGAGGTAAAACCCTGGATAACTAACATTTGTTTACAAAGAAAAGAGTGGGAGCATAAATTATTACAGCCATTATGGTATAGGAAGCATGTGTATAATTTAAAAACTGATCTCTCCAGGATCCCTGGAGAAAAATGGTGCATTAACACAGATATGTGTGAAAGACAGAGAACAAGAAGCCATATGAGCCTCTCCCAAAAAATTCAAGTGTTTATATAGGAGGCTAGTTTGTAGATTTAGTTTAAAAATGCCAATCAAGTGCATTTTGGGTGGCTAAGGCTTCAGCCAAATCACCTGATAGTTGATCCACTGTGCTTGCAGTATTTACAGATTGGGAAAAGGCTATCATAGAAACTTGCTTCAGTGACGGAGGCGGCACTGGCAGCCGTAATCCCGAAATCTCCTTTCCTCTTTGCTGCACACCTGGGGTATGTGGCCCATGAAAGCTTTTACTTCATATGTCCAGAAGCTAACCAGTCTGCAGACCTGCTGAGAACAATTGAAACTTCCTCCAAAATTAGTAGCATTAGTTACAACAAAAAGAAGGGAACCAGAATACAAGTGCCTGAGATGAAGGTGAAATTCTTGTCCTTTGGACCAAAGTGTAAATTTATAGCCGCTTGACCCACTATAATTAGTGGTCAGGAAAAAGGGCCACATAGAGCTACTAGACCCGCAGGTATCATAATGGGTAGGTTCTTGATGAAGGTCCATCGGACCTTCTTTCTGGCTGCTACAATCACGGCCCCTTCCCCATATGGTGAATCAGACACTCAGGCACCCAAACAGGGTTATCTGCATTTTGTGGAAAGACACAAACTGACCCTTGGGCCCATACTAGAACTGGGTCAGGGCTGCACCATTGTCCATTTGTGACATTCTTCCACATAACTGAGCCATAGTCAGATGACCAAGGGTGCCAATGCCTGTCAGCAGCAGATCAAGCAGCACCATTAATAGTTAAAAAAAATTTAAATATAAACATCACCCCACCTAGGAGCCAGTGCAAATTCAGACCTCCAGGCTATAGAAAACTGATTGGTCTATAAAGCACTAGCTTGGATGGTTTAAATTGATTGGCCTGCACAGCGCAGCTCCTGAGGCTATGAGATGATTGGTTTACGATGTGCAAGCTTTGTTGTAACCCTAAAAAAAGCTGTCTCAATTCTATACTTGGGGTCCTCAGTCCTCTACCCCTGCGTGGCTTATGACTGTGGACCCCAGTGCACTTGGAATATAAAAGACCTCATGCTTTTGCATCAAGACCGCTTCTCATGAGTGATCTGGGGTATCACCTTTCCTGAGTGGGAGCTTGAAGGTCCATGTTCTATGGGTCTTTAGAACTCTGCACATAGGCGACAATTCTTAACTATATTAATAGCTTGGTCTCTAGTAATTTTAAAATAGAATTTAAGTGACTCTGCATTAAGGCGGAAGGTTGTTGTATGAGCTTTGCAGGCTGCTTCATAACCAGACACTCTCATCATCATAATGGCACTATCTGTTTTAGCATTAAAACTGGCAATGACATTTCCTTCAATCAAAGGCCCGGGCAAATAAGAATGCGCTCAGAGATGTCTTTAAAAAGTCCTAATGATCTCTGTCATTTATTTTACTTTATGGCAATGAATTCTTTAGCTGTCTTGTTTTCATTCCGGTGCCCTGTCTTGTCAATAGAGCCACTAATTGCCCACTGAGCATTTCCTTAGAGTTACTGGCACCCATCCGTCAATACACCCTCATTCACTTACTTTGCCGGCTGGCTTCCGAGGACGATCTCTTGAGGTGGTCCTTTGTTTCCATGATCTCGGTGGGACCACCACTTGTAGTGCCCCTGCCCTACCATCTGTTCCATGAATCCAGTGAAGGCCTAGAGGCTGAAATAAAGAGACAAGACAGTGGGTCATTCGTTCAATGGCAATGTCGGAACTCTAAATGCCAAATGCCGTTTATTGAGGGGATGGAACAGGCTTAAATACTTACTTACAGCATAGTGGAAAATCACAGGATGTATGAGGAATAACAGGAATAACAAGGTGTGTGTTGTCACAAGCTGTGTGTTATCAAAACAGGAAGAGTACCAACAACAGCTTTGGGGCAAGGAGTTCCAGCCAACAGCTTCAGGCTTGCTCAGGGTGCCTTGGGGGTCCATGCAGGGCCCTACACTACACAGGGAGAGTAAGTAGGAGGAGGAATTTAAATTCAGGGAAAGAAGAAAAAAAAAAGAGATGCCAGGGAGACTCCAGGGATCAGCCATACAAGGAGGGAGAAAGCAGAAAAGTAGAACATACAGAATAAAAGAAAGGTAAATAAAAGCCCCGAGACAAAACATAAGATGAATAGAAACAGGTTAAATTAAAAGAGCTAGTGGGACATGCCTAAGTGAAGGCCCATCATTCTTAATAAGAAAGAATGTCAGATGAGAGTACATAGATTATATATACATAGTCCTTGGAAAGGCAGAAACTGAAATTGACAGTCTATGTTCTAAACCAGTGTATTGGAGATTTCTAGATATTACCCACACCCATAAGAATGCT